TTTTAAGGGGCGATACGTGGCATTTCCAGCGATCCTCCTTGCCCTGACATGTATCGATTTTCGACTTCACCCGTACAATCGGCAACATATTGTGAGGTAATTTGCACCCCGGGGGGTTACCCATGGAGGGTCACTCAGCCGCAAAAACTCACCGACACGTGAAATGAAAATTTATTCTCGTTATCCGCGCCGGGGTGGTCCTCCGGGTGGTCTTGATTACAAATAAATCCGCCAGCTGCCACTTTGACAGCTCCTTCTTTGAGTTTGTTGCGAGGTTTTTCCGGTGAACGACACGTAACGGGGTGCACGTGGATCACCCCTCGATACCGTTCCCGGATCGGGAGAGAAAGTCTCACTATCCGTAGGTTTAGTAAGTATTCATTCGATCCGCTCGATTAATTGGAAATCCATTTATTACCCGCGCGCCATTTATTATTGGTTTTGCTTCACCTTTTGCTCTTTAGTCGAAATTAGTCCTTCTCTCGTAGGATTAGCATAATTGATTTAATGACTGGTTCAATCAACGGAATGTAAAAGCTTAGTTCATCCGAGGCATTACGTATTACGCTGCGATAATAAAGAAACATATGCGCATGCATGTATCGAGCAAATTGATATGCAAACGAAATTCAATCAAAAATCTCAATTCAAACTCTACCCACGCTTAAAATAAACTTTCGTTGCGAGCTGTTCGTTTTTTTACAAGGAACGTAATAAAATTCCCCGGTCTATCAACTGAATAAAGAACACGGTATATTTTATTAACAATTTTAAAAAATAATTAATCTTAAATAAATTAAAATGCATTACAGATACCTGCCCATTTTTTGTACATTTTCTCTCCCTTTTTATTTTTTTAATAATATTTTTGCGACTTTCGCGATTCAACGTGAAACAGCAAACAATGAAAATAATCTCGATTACAATATATATGCAGAAGCAAAAATTAAATTATTCAGGCTGAATTTACAATAAAACTAATAATCATGTGACTTGCAAAAACACACCGGTAAAATTAAAACGGTTGATAAAATAGAGAATAAGCTTAAATATTATAGAACAATATCCTATCAAGTCCTATCCTCTTACCGACTTTCAATTTTTGGTTCCTATTTTTTTTATCTTATTATTCATATCAGATAGCATATCGTATTATAGTATAAACAAATTGAAAAAAATTTGAGTGCAAACTCTGATGGTCAGAATATGTTATATAATAATTATTTTTGTATATTGTTCTCTTTTAATTAATCTGTTGGGAAAGTTAATTATCGGGTTAGTTTGATATATAAAATTTAACATGCAATGTGATCCGAGTTATTAATTAATTAAAAGAGTTCATGAATTCAAAGGAACAAAATTATGATCGCTGTCAGAGTAAATTCGTTGTTCGAAATTGCCGATAATATTAACAGCCGTTCTCTCTCTTTTGTAAAAATTTCCGTCTGCTTTAACTTGCATCGCTGTGATTTCGATAGCACGTTTCTCGACTAAAAAATAGCGTTTAAATTCCTACGATCGGATACCGCCTAAGGATAATATTCGACGTATCCATAAACTTTTTACGACACCTTTTCCGATACAAAATGGCTCGGAAATTACGTATCATATTTTGTGCGCGATGCTCCGTGAGATGACAGATAAAATCTTTGTATTTTTATTTCCGTATAAACGCTCTATACAAAAGTAACTCAAATATACATTAACAGAAGTTAAGATTTCAGTTCTGCAAAAGAAAAAGATTTCTTATATACATATTTAAATTTCATCAAAAGCTTAATAATTTTATTTATAACCAACTCAATATCATATAGAACGAGAGTGAAAATAAAACTCTTCTCTCTGTATTGTACCTAAAATATATTTTTCTAAAGTAAAATACGCAGTTCTCTCTTGTACATTGAAAAATACTATATTTACACGTAACCTACATATAGGTATATATGTATAGAAGTATTGCACTTCTATGCAGTTTCCGATTACTTCATAATGTATATATGTCGATATATCATGATGGAGTTGAAATCTTTTCTTCCTTTCCCTTCTTTTAAAAACGAATTTTGTTTTACATTACGATAAAAGTTAACATTTTGTTATCATTTTTCAACAGAAATTAAAATTTATTTGTACATAATTATTATATATAACATAACATAAGTTTTGAAATAACAATGATGCATGCAGCAACATATCCTTTCATTTTCTCTTTTTCTATAATCTATGCTTGAGACACATCAAAATATTTTTAACATTTAACATGTCTATTTCGAAGCTACATAGATCTCTGATGGCAGGGAATAAGAGATGGCAGGAAATCGATATTTAATCGCTATTTCAAGAGTGCTGCTCTTGAATTAATGCCAGATAAACTTTGAATATCTTTGCTAAACATTAATTAACATTTAACATATATGCCACTTTACATTTTTAACGATACAACTTTTTAACAGTTCATTATTAAAACAAAACCATTATATCAGTTATATCAATCATCGTATGTAGATATACGAAAAGTTAAAAAAAAAAATTGTTTTCCATGAAATATTTCTGTTTTAAAAAGAAAAAGAGAAATTTAGTGATAAATTATAAAGCCTTTTTTAAAGAAAATATATAATTTTTGGCAACCTTTAAATAATATCAATTTTTTTCTCTCATCAATATATACATTATGTAACGAACGAAACTTTGAACTGCATTGACCCAGTTGATTAAAAATTTATCTAAAACAATAGGTCACTAAATTGCCTACGAATACTTTATACAATAAAAGCGATAAAAAATATAAAGAAAAATATATATAGAGAAAAAATACCAAATATGGAGCAGTCACATATCATTCACATTTTATTTTATAAAACATTTTTTTTTTAATTTACTCGTTGAATATTTATTTATTTGAAATCGTTGTATTATTCATATGTGGGAACAATATTTATTAAATTTAAAAGATATATATTAATAAAATATGAAATTCTATATAAATATCGAATACCAAAAAATATTTAAAAAATGACAAATTTGTACTTGAAAAAAGAATTCATATTATTGATCTTTCTTTGTAAAATATTATAGTGTTTTATGTTAAGAATGTTTTCCACATTTGGTATTTTTATTCTACGTTGCTATGGTATAACTTGTAAAAATCGATTTTTTAAAACTAAAATATCATTATACGAAGCAATTTAGTCAGTAATCGGAAATTTAGACCGATACGTTCCATCGTTACCGTAATTAATAATAACATGAAATTAACGAATATAACTGTATAATAAACGTTTAGATATTCTGACACAGTTTACCATCAACATCACTAATTAACAATTTAATTAACAATGAGGTGAAATTAGTAAATATAGTTACACACTTAATTATGTTGCGACGATCATATAAGCTCCTATAGCTTTAGACAAAAACTGTAGATAATCGATCGTCAGTATGTATGTAATAAATCAGTCAAAATATGTTTATGCAGAATAAAGCGCTTAAACGAATAATCGAAAAATTCGCGTTGTTATCGAAAATATGGAATATACTTTAGTTGTTTAAAAAATAACTGAAAAAGAAATGTAAAAAATGCAAGATTTTAGATTATGATTTAAACATCCAATCAACTTAGTCAGAAAAAAAATTTACTTCATATTTTCGATAGCAACGATAGCAACGAGATTAATTCTACTCTGTTTTAAGTTTAGTTCTGCATATTATCGTAACTTTATATAGGATAGGCGCATCAGTGAGTTTATTAAATATTTGTATAACATACCTATATAAAATAATAATTAAGAACTTATATCTTCAAAATCCATATAAAATAATAAAGTTATATATATTTCTTATTTAATTTCATTTTTGTGTGTAAGATGTAATACACGACTAATCTTTTTAGTTACTTTAACTTATGTCAATTATGTATCAGAACTATTGTTTGTGTTTTATCAACTTTAAAATTTCACTCGTATTACTTTCGTTATTATTTTATGATATATAAATGTTCACTTTAATTTAATTTATTTCCTCTGATGCGTCCATCATAATATATAATACTTTTTAAACATCGGAAGCGATATGAGTGGCAGCAGTCTACTCAGAAGAGTAAGACGTTATTGGTCAAAGCCATAACAATTGCTTCTGCAATTCTGCACCCTGTAGACAATAATATACAGTGTACAACATACAAACATGTATGCGAAGCAGTCAAATTCTTCGATTAAATTAGGAACGATATCTTTCGACGTGATAATATACATATATGTCGGGATTTGATACAGCTCAGCGATGTGCAATGTAAATAAATGTAATCAAATACAAATTCTCTAGAATATTAATAAATCGGAATGACATATAAATATTATATAAAATATAAAATTACATTCTTGCGTTACATTTAATATTTTTAGAACATCAGTCTATCACTCACATTGATGATACGCGTTTTTAATTTTTGAGACTTGTAGTTATCTACTTATAATTACAAAATAAAATCCATATTTACAATATAAAAAACAAATAAAATAATTGAAAGAAAGACAAATTAGTAACATTGAGTACTTTTGTGCAATTTCTTCTGTTAAATAATACCATTTAGCAATACCTGTTGGAAATAATACCATTTCGTGCGTATGGTAAAAGTTCCTAAAACATCATTCAGTATAATACATATAAAAGGAGATATATATATATATCTCTCAGAATTTTCGCACTTCCTTTTATTTATCGGCTTTTCTTTGATTTTATTATTAATCTTAATTATTTTAACGAAGATATCATAACATTGACAATTTTTTAGTTATAAGCAATCGAAAATGTAGATATTTTCACGAGTTTCAAAGAGGCGCAAATGGATAACAAGATTTTATCTTTTGTTTAATTTTATATCGAACTCTTTCTCTCTCTCTCTCTCTCTCTCTCTCTCCCTTTCTCTCCTTTTTTAATAAAATTTTTATTTAAATTATAAAAATATTTATAAAAAAAAAACATTAAGAAACAATTTTCCAATTTTTGTGAAGAAATAATTTACTTTAAATCAACGAAAAATTGATATAAATACGAATGCGGAATCACGGAAATTATGGGAAGCCTTATATCTATATAGGTATATATCATATATATATGTATCTTTCTCTAAATATAATATATATATGTATATATGTACATGTATATATCAGAACTTTGTTTTGTCTTTTATCGAACAGTCAGAATAAAAATATGTCTAAAAGATAATCTACTTCACAGTTCACGGAGCTCAAGACGAGCATCGGTTCTTCGTTGAAGTCGAATCAGATCAGAAATTAAGCTGATCTGACTCGATTCTAACGGAGATCTGTCGCTCCGACTCGTTTCTGATTTGACATGATGCTAACAAACAGCTGTCACTCGTTAGTAGATTTTACCTACAAGCACTGAACATACTCAATGCTCAACGACATATCTAAAACAACAGCTTTTCTTTTTATAGCCGCTGAAGTAAATTAACGGTTCCTCCATTGCGTGCGACTTATGCAACCCTGTATTCGTAATTGATTTATGCAAATAGTTCTTTAAACTATTTGCGTAGAAAAATCGTTACGTAACTATATCGATAGAAACAGAATGATAAAGACAATCATCTTAGGAAATACGCATGGAATTTCCTTTTTAGCTACATATTTGCAGATCTTTTATCGAAACATTGGCGTTCGTCAAGTAATACTTAAAAGTGAGCACAGTTCCAACACCGTTTCTAATTTCGTTTTTGTATTATTCAACCCTATTCTACGTAAGTTTTGTATAATAAAATAAATAATTATCGGAGTCACAAACTTTTGCCTTTTCAAATGTTGCAAACTTTGGAATGGACGCTTCATTATTAATGTTATTGCTTATTACTTCGTGCCGCAATGGAAGTACACCCGATAATATAACATTAATAATCACTAAATCTATATTCTATCAACAGCGCTTAAACATATTAAATATACTTATTTGTAGAGATCTGTATCTGAAGAGATCGCAGGCGTTCTACGTATATTACATATCTGGATGTAACATCTCTTTCACGTGTACAATTACTCTTTGGTATTCACGTACGCGATCAGCACTTTTAGAAGCGTAATATATGTGCCAGAACTTTTATCTCTCGGAATTAGCGCTTATTTGTGCGATCCTTTATCGTGGCATATGATATGGACTAGCCTTAAATTCTTCACCGTAAACAGATTGTCGTAACAGTCGTAGATGTCCTGTTCATTGACCGTATCTTGTCGCGAGATCTGCAGCAACTGCGGAATAAGCGTCCTCGACCTTTCAATTCTGCAAACAACAAATAACCGAATTGTTTCAAATCTACGAGTCTATTAACTCCTCTCCTGGCAATTAAATAAACTCTCTTAAACGGAGTTTATCGAATTTATATTTATTACAAAATAAATAAATCGTTTGCCATGTGTATAATATTGGGACGAACGCAACAGATAAAAAGTAATCAAGTTTCGTCGATTATTACGCGCCAGATATTGGTAGTGCGTATATCAAATAAATGAAATTGTTCCAGATTTAAATTATCCCGGAAATTTTCACGCATGCAAGGTTATTAACAATTTTCCGAAATCATCCGGCGCATTAGAATGATTCACATTAATTAACGACAAATACCATAACAAATTATCTTACTTGTGATCCAAATTCCATGTAGAGAATAAGGCGAGCTCCTCCTTGGATCTGTACGGATTAATCTTGTGTCTGTCGCCGTAGGGACAGCCGTCGGCGTTCCATCGACCCTCGCATTTAAACTCGCCCTTCCTGTCGCAAATAGCGATTTGCGTATCTCGCGATTTTACGCGATAAGGACAACTGTCCTCCCATTTTTCGTCGCTCGCCGCTTTCGCGTTCTTCTTTTCGGAATCGAGGAACTTTCTCGCGTCCGTCTCGTCGATCGTATCCGAATCGGCGGTCACATTTGTGTCCAACGATTGAGGCAAACGGAGATACCGTTGACGGAGATATGTTTCGTCGCTAATACGACCGAAATTGCAGGGACAATGGTCGTAACATCGGCCGTAATCGGTCTCGTCAGTGTCGCTTTTAGTCTCCGCTCTACTCCTGTCAAAGTAATACCCGAAATAGTGATCCTCCTTGAGCTGAAGCTTGAAGAACGCTATCGTACGCAACAGCTGCTGCCTCGCCTTGTAATCGTTCATGAACACGTCCGAGCACTTGATCTGCTCGATCGTCTTGTAAAGATAAGTGCGTATTCTATCCTGACATCTGCGGTGCATGTACGCTTCCTGTGAATGAAGTCAAAGATTGGTTTACGTTTGTTAATTCCAGAGTTCTAAATACCAAAAAAAATATATTGCTTTCAAATGTAAAGAAATATTTTAATTATATCAGATAATACGTATGCATATATTAAAGACATTATTTAACAGATGACGTTCGTGGAATACATAAATTGGTAAACACTTGAGTTTAGCGAAATTTTTAAGAGGATACCTTACTTTATTAAGCTCACCTTTGACATATAATTGGTTTCCAAATTTTCAAACCATTCAGGATGCTCCTGTCTTGTGCTAAGCGCCGTCTTAGAGTCATCCTTGTTCAACACTCTGTTCAACAAGGCGACTTTTGTTTTAAGATTATCCGTCAGGAATTGCGTCACCCTGTCGCCGGCGGTGAGGAAATCAATGTTCACGCGTCTCAGTGCATCGTAGAGAATGTCCGCGTCTGCGGGAAATCGTTTGTCCTTGAAAAACATCGCGCGCCGTAACCTCGCTCATGTCGGAAAGATCGCGATTTCTTTTTTTCCCGTTCCGTGAGTCGCATTCGGCCTTGCTAAGAAGTTCGGAAACTTCGAAAGGCTGACACTGGACTCGGAATATTTAACTTTGGCGCTCGGCCAAACGCAGTGCATTCGTTATTGTACCGCGATAAACTTACGTTGAATTTTTAGACCATTGAATTTGTGACTCGGAAGTGCATTTAAATTATGGAGTATCAAGTGGTAAATGTACAATGTTAGAATATATCAAGTGGATGTAGTGGAACGAAAACACAGTATTAGCTTTGATGATAAAAATCTATTGATGATAAAAAACGTTGAGAAATCGATTGTGATATCGATTGCAAGAATCGGCATGCATGTATATAAGATTTACACGTACATACATACATGTATTTAAAAAAGCGATACAGTTCTCTTTTTTAGAAAAACTAGTTAGAAAGGATAAAAGATTGATATAAAAATGTTCACGGTGGTGAAATTTTTTATCGTTTGAAAAAGAAATAGTAAACTGTAATTTACTGAGTAGTTATTTTAAGGTTTAAAAATTCTATTGGCTATTCTATATGATAACTTGGTAACTATTCATAGCCCTTTGACACTATTATATTAATTAGTTTCTTTATAAATTTAATTTCTTTAGTACACGATAATTATTTATGTTATTGGTTGAAACTGGAACGATTAAAATCATCTCAAAGATCAGAAACAGAATATTCAAATTATAAATACATTTCAAAGATCTAAGATAGAATATTCAAATTCTGAACACGTGATATCTTTTTCTATCGTTGCTATAATATAACCACATTAAAAACTGTTCTAGTTTCAAAGCACATTGATATGTTTAATATTGTATTATGTATTGTTTGTACTAACCAGATAACACTTGTTCCCCTGGTTTCTGCAAAATCAAAGTAGTCTGTGGTGCCAATGTACAAAAATACTCTTCATCGATCAGTGATCCGTCTAGAAGAAAGACATTCACTTCCTCTGGATCGTTAGTTACCTACAAGAATGCATAATCGATCAGTTTACCATTCTATCTAATTATTTTAATTAATTTTCTTTGGCGAGGGATACCTATTACGTTCGATATATTTACATTGGAAAAACTTTTTTTCTGCTCGTTAATTAATTAACGTTCGTGAACTAACTATTTTGAATAAATGATGAAGTAATACGAGAGAATATTCGATATCTCAAACAAACGTCAAGGCTATAATATAATACATTTCCGTTAGTTTCCTGGGGACGGGAATATTAATAATTTTCCCGAAGGCCGAATACAAGGTTTTCATCAATTTTTACATCACTTCTCTTGGCGTGACGGTATTATTTTCACATTTCTCTCGCGATTCTGAACAATGGAGATTGATGCTGCAAATTACCGAGTATTCATGAGCCTTCAATTTTTCTCGAACGACGAGGTTGTTATAAAAGTTTGAACTCTGATAAATAACAAAAAAGAAAATTGATCGTATTACGTTAAGATTATTATTATTATAATTAAATATGATACTACTTACAGGAACAAATCATTTGTTATGATATGGCATCAATGTTATCAATATACATTTTAACTTTTCGACTCCCAAGAGGGCCAAGTCGTTCGCTCTATAAATGATTTTTTTAGAATAATTCTGCTAGAAAACTTTGATAATTTTTGTGGATTTTGTAATTTATTTTTAAGCTATAAGCTTTTATTTGAGACAAATAAATGCATAATATGTACAATTTTCAAGAAGATATAACTTATTTACTCGAGCCATACGACCACTTGGGAACTTATGTCTAGGAAATCAGCATGAGAGTCGAAAGGTAAACGCAATCAAAGCGTTGTTTCGAAATTTAAAACTGCTGTTCTATCACATGTATACAATATGGTAGCTTTCTAATAATAATTTCTAATTGTATTGAATATATTGCGCAAAACTGACTTAAAGTTTACTTATAATTCTAATTTATTTTAATAATGATTCGAGAATGTTAATTTTAAAAGGCGAGTATTCGCGATTTTGCGTTGGCTCGGGTTGACATTGGCCTAGCGAACTATTTGGGTCGACCTTTAAGCCAGCGCGAAAAGCGGATTCGCGACCTTAACATTGAGATTACTTCCTGTCCCTGGCCCGGCTGGTTCGATAGAGCCAGCGGTTTCGGGCGAGCGGATGCGGGTCCTTTTCAAGGACGCACTGCAACCGGATCGACCTATCTATCCGCGAAATGCGACTATCATCGGCTACGCCGTACGTTTCCGGTCTCTCTCATTTCAAAGCACGGAAAGAACAGTTTTTCTGAAGTATCTAAAAATTTAACTAGATACAGATCTGAAAATAATTTTGTTGCACCATCAAAATAATTGTGGTAGGTCGCTGAAGTATGATGATAATGCTATAAAAAATTTTGACATTTTAGCAGTCAGTTTGAGTGTTCTACATAATTATTTTGATGGTGCAACAAAATTATTTTCAGATCTGTATCTAGCTAAATTTTTAGATACTTCAACAAAATCGTTTTTTTTTTTGTGAGGTAATCGTTGAAAAATGTTTTCAATACAATTGATATAATCCAGAATACATTTAGGAACGTGGAACAAGACGGAGTATCGAATTTTGTTCAACCACGTAACACTATCCATGGGATTCTTTTGGAACTTGATCATGCGAAAAACAGCCTATGGTTTGACAGTCGCTGACTTCATTCCGATGCGTTTCGTCATTTCCATAAGTCGCGTTCAGTTTGTGCATTGTGTTACAATATTGCGACTTCATATTTGCTGTTTAAACTGAGACGGAAGAGACGTGAGTATTATTTTGAATTTTTTATTACACTATCTCGGCACTGTTTTTATGAGTTCCCAAAACAGTCGATTTTCAATGCACAAATTTTGCGTTATTATGAAATAACTTGAAAATGTTGCTTCGGGACAAGACGGGGTGGGGCATGACGGGGTACTATCCCGATAATATTTTGTTATCGAAGTTATTGAAAATAACCAGTGCCTCTACTGTCAACTATCATGATTGTTCCGACGAAGGGTGGATTCGTTACACTGCGCTTGTGCACGATGGGCCACATAACTCTTGCGCAACTCTTGACAATGAGGATGAGGCTGTTCATGTCTGCGTTTTATGTGAGAAATAAATAAATATAGAATATTTACGATTGTCTTAACTAGCAATAAATATTTTATTTCTTTATTTTGACTTTTTAATGTTAAAATTAAATGTTTAGGGCGGGTAAATGGAGGTACTTCGTCTTGCCCTCCCTATGGGGCAAGATGCTGCAAAAGACATTTTTTTTCAAATATTGCTTTCTAGACCAATTATTCAAAAAGGATTCAATAAAAGGATTTGTGTTGAAAAAATAAATGTTTTTTTTTATATTTAGTAGTCATTTTATGTAATTAAACATTAAGTACCCCATCTTGCCCTATTTCTTTTGATCGATATTTACGTCATGTCATCGCAATTGCATTAAGCATTCATATACGCATATCAAAGAAAAAAATGTGACGTAACAGTGACCGAATATCGCGAGCGATATTTTACTTTTCTAATAATTAATATTTCTTCTTATACTATTGCAAAGAATAAAAGGAATTAAATCGCTTACTAATATACAGGAAAAAAAATTATTTATTAAAGGATGTCAATATGCATAAAAATCATAATTACACAAATAAAACAGTGTAATCTTAACATGTAAAATTTTATTTTCTTGAGTATCTCTGCACTGCGCTATCGTATCCGTGCTTAATGAGAAGATATCTCAAGAGTGCCATCTGTCAAGTTGCATAACTTCTAAGATATTCTTGTTACTCGATGCAAATCACTGTACACTTTTGATGAATGGCTTCTGTCTTTTCGCAACGCTACATTAAGCAAACACTATGACCTATACCACATGTGTGTTCCAATTCTCTATATGCCTGTTATCCTGAAGATCATCGCGTATACACTGCAAGTCCAAAAGTGTTTTATTTTAGCTGAAGCTCTTCTTACATATTGTTGTCCGTTTTAAATCACATTATTTAACACTATTGAATGTATTAATTTTTAATTTAATACGATAAACAGGTAAAAACGTGTTAAATGATCAAACGTATAATTAAAAACATGAAGAAACATGTAAAAAGAGGTTTAGTCAAATGTGTTATTTTTAGACATTTATGCATGTGTAAAAATAACACACTTGAATTTGCGACCGATTAAAAATCATCACGGACAATAATGATCGCAAAGCAACTTGGAAGAAAATCGGAACGAAAGCAGGATTCATTCGGAACGATTTAAGTGACTAAGTGCGCGCTATAATGGAGAGAAAGAAATGCATTGAACGAGTGTCGAGAGTCGAGTAAATCTATACAACAATGAATCGTTTAAGTGCACATGCACTGGGCGCTATTCTTGCTTTCGACTGCAAGGACAAATTCCACATTCCATGAAGCATTTAATGGCCGTAAATCGAGCAGCAATGAGTCGACTTACGCTCATTCAATGCGCCTGAAACGGGCGTTGTTTTTGCTCTCCATTGTGTCATGGACACTTTGTTACCGTAAACAATGCCGGTGTTTTAAATTTAAAAAAAAAAAGCAAGAGGTATTCAAACTACGATTGACAAGATATTTTCTAAATGTTTTTCTCTATCGAGGATACGTCAGTAGTTGCATCGACGTTTATCTCGAACGTACCTCTGACGCTCAAAGCAACGCAAATTACTCTGTTACTTTAAATAAAAATTCGCGTTATTTACGTAACGATCGTATGATTTGTATGTCCATATTACGTGAACCAGCACGGTTTGTCCAAAAGTACATAAATCTAGCTCAAATCTATGCCAGTCATCGGCATCTAAATACTCGATAAATGTAAATGCGCGGCATTTACATGATAAACATCGTTACATTTTCGCGTGCGCGCAGTTTACATTGCGTGAAAATGCGTTGAATTATTCATACGATGTACGGTTTTTGTTTCGGCGCGCACATAGCGAATGAACGCATCGTCCGAAATACCAAAATTAACTTAATATAAAACAACGTAAAGTTAATGTCTGCTTTATATTAATATATACTTACATTTAATTTTAAGCACGCTTTCTGTTTCAAATCCTGAAAACCCCGGCAAGCAATACCGACTTTGCGCGTACGACTCACATCGGTCACTTTGTAGCCTTTGAGCTGAAATAAATTTGTCACATGGAAAGATATAAAATAATTAAATTGATAAACATTTTTACTAAGGGTAACTTTTTAAAAATATTATTACAGTCAAAGGACTGCTTTTTAATTTAATATTTTATATAAATGTAATAAAATCTTCTGGAAGCAAATACGCAATTAATAAAGCTCTCTGACATATGGAGGGATAAAAACCACAGTGGTGTAAGTGAAATATTTTAAAAAATTTGACTTACACCACTGTGGTTCTTACCCCTCCATATAGACTAATAAAATTTTGTAAATAAAAAATAATATAATTAGGTACAATATAAAATAAAAATAAATCAAATAACAATTATTATTAGTATTAGTATTGAGATTAGAGCGCAGCAACTGTCCAGGCTCCATACCAATAAAATAAATTGCATTAAAGGACGTCGGGTAATATTAAATTATTTCGGACCAAGTAACCGCGTAATTGCATTCTGCATCACGTTCAAGGCCATCGGATTTCAGAGCTTTGCGCGCGTACAATTTCTTCGAGTGACCCACATTTTATATTCAATGGCGTCCACTCGACACGTCACGTCAAAATGCAAATGTCATGAATAATGAAGCCGCTGATACTAAAATTCATCAAATCCCCTCGCACGCGTTATTACATATATATTGTTGATTAACGGCAAAATGACAGATTGGATACAAATCGTGATATACCATTAGATATCGGCATTCTTGCATGAAAATATTCTTTAGTAATAAACTCTTTACATTTTAATACATATTACAAGAATAAATACGACAAAGGTATTGCGGTATAGAGATAATAGATATTTCATTATATACTGAACACTTGACGGACATTATTATTATATTAAATCAGCGATAAGTAGCTGAGAGGATCTCTTCGCATTTATAGCTCCGAGTCTTATTTAATCCCAGAGTGCAAATGCAACTTAATTAAAAAATAGCCGTTTAATAAATATAATTATTTAAAGAGAAATAAATCTTTTAAGAAGATTCCTCGATTGCCAGTCGCTTCTTCAAGAATGCAATTAATACTACGTGCATTCTACTCCGATACATCAGATGTTTATCGCGCAACTGGCATGCAAGATAAGCAGCACGTGTCGCCTACCTCGCTTTTGCAAGACGACGAGATATCCGTCAGACGGCGAAAGCAGTCGGCGATGAGAGACATGTTCCGCCGACGGAGAACCGATGACGGTCGTCGGGCAGGAGAGAGAGACGAGGACGAGCCCCTTCACCCGTATTGCACCGCACCAAACTCTCCCGACGTTCGCTCTTGCACGCCGCCGCGTTGCCCCACTCACACTGACCCTGACACTGTCGCTCTTATCAGGCGTTCACGGACGTTCGGATAAGATCCGCGCGAGAGAATGGAATAATCGCTCGCGAAGGGAACAAGTGGGGAGACGCGAAGAGAGAAAAAAAATCATTGAATAAAAACAGAGTAGGCAGACAGAGCGCAGCGAACAACTGTTGCCGCATCAGGTACTAAACAGACTAGCAGTAAACTGGTCGCGGGATCAGGTAGTGGGGTCGCTGTGAAAACGGCTACTACCACGCAAGCACTGTGGAACTGGTACGTATAAGGACGAAGGTCGGAGGAGAGAAGGGTGCGGTGTGCCGTGGGATGAGAGAGAAAGAGAAAGAGAGAGACGGAACTAGCAATTCCAGCACCAGCGAGACACGAGGAAGGAATGCGTCCCGGTTGGAATATAGGAGATGGAGAACCAGTACATACACCGGAAGACGCGCCTGCGAACTGAACGCTTTTGCGTTCTGATATATAACAGAGGGCAGCATTTGATAGGAAGTCAGGCGACACAAAGATAATTCACAGATACCGACGTGAATACCCTTCCGATACCTGAATACTGAAAAGAAAATATTTTCGGCGCCAGCAGTCATAGCGCTGTTATAGTTACGTTTATAAATAGAAATACAAGTAGTTAAGACAAAATGTATATAATTACATGTCTAAATACAGACACAGACTGCAAAAAAAAATATGAATACGGATTTAAATACCTTAAGTGTAATTAAATGATATTTTTGATTAGTATAATTTTAAGAAATAAAAAATATATATTATACAGTGAAGACATTATTAGTTATGAAATATTAAATTTGCTATATGTCTTTCATTTAATTTATATCTTTAATTTAATATTAAAGGTATAAATCTTTAATTCAATTGTTTTCAAAGATTGAAATATAAATTAGAAAAAATGTATTTTTTGTATGTTAAGATTTATGCGATAATAAGTTTCATTTTATTTATACATACACTGAGAAAAAAATGTTCTGCATTTTAGTAAATATTAATTTGCATACAACCGTGACACCATTTATTAAAGTAGAGAAAATTTTTCTTTTTATTAATATATTTTTTTTTCAGTGAATGCAAATGTACTAATAAAAAGGAAACTTTTCTTCATTTTAGTAAATAGAAACAATTGTTTGCAAACTAATATTTACAGAACATATAGAAATACAGAACATTTTCTTGTCAGTGTATAAATTCTAATTGAATTAAATTATATAAAAAAGTTTAAATTAAAAATGTAATAAAATAATTAAATTGTAATAATTTTAATTTAAATATTAGAATATATAATACTAATAATAGAATATATATATTACGTAAATTAAATCTAAATTAAATTAAAACCTAATGAGAAATAATGTTTATTTTTTTTTTTATTAACATATGATCGGTAGTTACGTATCTAACCCAGAACATTTATATTTTAAGAGTTCAAAATTACTAATGACACGTGTTTATTATTTGGATATTAAAACTTTTAATTTAGAAAGGCATTTAACTTCATATAAAGAACACATCAAGTCTCGTGCCAATTTTAATTTGATGTAACATGGTATTTTGCGAAACGCTAAAGAATCGAAAACGAAGCGATATAAAAGAGCACTTCTCAGCAAAACTGAAGACAAAGAAAAGAAGAGATACATTAAAGCAACAAAATGTATTTGCAAATTTTATGAAGACTTCAAAGGCCGTGCATATATACCTGCAAAAATGATAATCAAAAAGATTTTCAAGCGAGCCAAAAAATAACTAATTGTTTTTATATAATAATGCTTAGATACAATTTCTTAAAATAAACTAAGCAGTAGACTTGATTATAAGCATTTTTATCTTATTTGTCATAATATTGGATAAATAGTGTCACAGCATCGTGACGAAGACTTGGATCATGATTTGCATTATTATCATAAATGTGTATTAAATGTGCATAAAAAGTAAAACCTTAATTAGCATAATCAAAGAATCTCAAAGTCAAAGATTATCGCGTTGAAAATAGTAGAATATATACAAAACATATATATATAAAATTATAGCAATATAACGCATGCTGTTTTTTAGACAAAGAAAAAATAGTTGTGTCACTTTGTTTTAGAATGTTAAATGTCAAAGGGAGAAACTAAAAGATTGTTGACGAAAAACTTGTTGCTTTACTTTGTTTTGGAATATTAAATGTCAAGAGGACATATAAAATGTCAAGAGGACCGAAAATAAAAAGGAATATTGAATATTGTAGGAACAATAATAACATTATTTATGCAAATACCAGAGAAATATGGAGAAAAATATTTATGCATCTGTTTTAAAACTCTAATGCCGTTGCTAGACAAAGAGTACTCACTAAGGATGAGAAGAAATATACGATCGTGATAGAAAAAACAACCTGACTTTTCTATTCAACGAAAGCCATCTCGTCGGCAAGATGCAATTAACATTATATATTATTGCGAAAGTATGTAATCCTCTTGTTATGCTCACGATAAACATTCCATGGAACGATGCTTCACGTAAATACATATGTACAAGCATTGTGTAAAACTACAAAATCCGAAAAACGTGCACGTAATTACTCCATACTACGAGATATGTTATTATATAAATTATCATAATTCTTGACATTTGACGTCATTATAGATTGAATATTTATAAAATCGATAAGTCCGACCTTCTAAATTGCGCTTGTTAAATATTTTCTACTTGCATTCAATTTCTTTCTTATCTGTTAATTATAAGCAATATAATTCAATAGGTGCACATTATGAGAGAGAAGCGTACGATTATAACTGGGAAAAAATAACAAAAGAATACATATGAGAATCTGTGCAATAATTAACACGCATTTACATATTATAATAATGGTTTGCTTATCAACGGAAATTATACTTATGTCACGAACGATTGTGCTATTAAATAACAATTTATAATAAATTAAGTAGTATTACCCAGTTATAATGAAAAGTAGTATTATCCAGAATTCCAGAGAAACCGAGGAAGAGAGAGAGAGAGAGAGAGAGAGAGAGAGAGAGAGAGAG